GCACACACAACGCACACGTGCACACACACAACCGGGGGCGGTGGGGGTTGGGGGGGCGGGGGAGGTTGGGGGGGTGGGAGTGACTTTTTTCTTTTTAATTTGATTGTGTGGGGGCGCTGGGCAACGCACCCGAGCCCCCGTGGACCTTGTCCGTGGTAAAAAACAACACACGGGAGCCCCCCCGTTTTGGATTCAACGGGCATTCGACAGGGGTGAAATGGGTTTCAACGGGAATTTAATTCCAACTGCCCGGTTGAATTGGTTACTCAGTTTCCCTTTGTCTTCCTTTGGTTTATCTTCTTTCCATCTCTTCTCTGTGTTTATCCCCTTCCCCTTTACTCTGCCTCGTTCTCACAGCATACAAGTGGGCCATTATGGCACACGGGGATGTCATTTCAGTGTGCTCAACTTCATCAACGTGGCGAGCCTTGTACGTGAGAGGGACGGTGAAGGGGGAGTCCACAGAAGAACAATAAAAATGAATCATTTCAGTGTGCTCTTCATGTTTGCCTTGTGTATTATTATCGTTTGTTTTGCAAAGTGCACTCTTTTCGTTCATAGATATGTGACAATATATGGGCGTATATGTCCATACAGAGCATGTATGCCTAGAATAGGTCATTGTGGTTATTCCTGAGGTGCTGCTGATGTGTATACTTTCACCAATCTTCCATTTTCTAAACTCATGAGCTTTGGAGGAATCCCCTTTTCAGTATTAGTGGTGGTGTCCACATACAACTACAGGTCACCCCTCTCCCTGTGTACTTTTGAGGATTTGCAGTTTTCTCATGAATGGAACGAAATCAATGAACGGTGTGAATGGAATAAATGAATGTGGGTGCATTGTTGGATTTGTGGTGATGTGTACAGGAATATAATGTCTGGCTTTATGATCCCAAAGAAGAGCATTCCCAACTTCTACATCTGGCTTTTCTGGGTGAATCCTACACAATACGCATTGAATGCGCTCACTTCGATCGCATTCTATTGTGACGTTCAAAAGAATCCTAACTGCCCGAAGCTGAAGGAGACGGATGCTTATGTGTGGCCAACGATGAAAGCAGCACGGTCTCTGGACTACAGCAGACGCTATATCGACATGCTGGCACTGCTTTTATTCATGGCTGCGTTCCGTGCTCTTGCCTACGTTGCTCTGAAGTTCATGAAGTACAACAGACGGTGAAAGCAGGACAAACAAGTGCCAAGTCAGACTTGCGAAAGTTTGACCCGTCAATGCCACGATGTATACACGCATGGAAAAGGGGAAGTAGCCGGGCCTGACTCCGTAATGGCTTTAGGTGTTTCGGCGGGTCAGCTAGAAGGAAGGATAGAGGCAGTTGGTTTGCGCTGAGCGATAGCCACGGCTGAGCTGGGCTCGGCTGAGGGATGGCCAAGGTCTAGGTCTGGATTAGATGAGGGATAGGCTGTGGTTGAGCTGTGACATAACCACAGCCGGGCCGGACTGAGGCATAGATAGCCCAGAACTCCAGCAACATTTGCTGTAACATGGTGATCCTCAGGTGCTCAGAATTTTAACAACATATTGCTGAAGTTCGGAGGATTGGAGCGACATGAACATATTGCTGAGGTTTGCATTTGATGTTTGAACACTTGGCCCACTTTTACTGCATGGCTACAAGGGGTTGACACTTTCTTG